TTTTGTTTTCTTTGTACAATTTATTTCTAGTTTTATACCTTTGTGATCTGAGAAGTTGGTTGGTAGAATTTCAGTCTTTTTGAATTTACTGAGGCTCATTTTGTGGCCTAGTGTGTGGTCTATTCTGGAAAATGTTCCATGTGCTCTTGAGAGGAATGTGTATCCTGCTGCTTTTGAGTGTAGAGTTCTGTAAATGTCTTTCAGGTCCTTCTGTTCTAATGTGTTGTTCAGTGCCTCTGTGTCCCTACTTATTTTTTTTCTGGTTGATTTGTCCTTTGGAGTGAGTGGTGTATTGAAGTCTCCTAAAATGACTACATTGCATTCTATTTTCTCCTTTAATTCTGTTAGTGTTTGTTTCACTTACGCTGGTGCTCCTGTGTTGTGTGCATAGATACTTATAATGGTTATATCCTTTTGTTGGATTCATCCCTTTATCATTATGTAATATCCTTCTTTATCTCTTGTTACTTTCTTTGTTTTGAAGTCTATTTTGTGTGATACAAGTATTGCAACACTTGCTTTTTCCTCCCTATTGTTTGCATGAAATATCTTTTTCCATGCCTTTGCTTTTAGCCTGTGTATGTCTTTGGGTTTAAAGTGAGTGTCTTGTAGGCAGCATATAGATGGGTCTTGCCTTTTTATCCATTCTGTTACTCTGTGTCTTTTGATTGGTGCATTCAGTCCACTTACCTTTAGGGTGATTATCGATAGATATTTACTTACGGGCTTTGCAGGCTTTGGATTCCTCGTTACCAAAGGTTCAAGGGCAGCTTCTTTAGTGTCTAACTGACTCAGTTATTATGCCAGTATAAACACAGTCTGATGTTTCTTTCTCTCCCTTCTTTTTCTTCTTCCTCCACTCTTTATATATTAGGTGTTTTATTCTGTACTTTTTGTGTTTCCATTGACTGGTTTTGTGGATAGCTGATTTTATTTTCCATTTTGTTGGTATTTGGTTGGTCTACTTTCTTTGTTGTGGTTTTATTTTCTCCCGTGACAGCTATTTAGCCTTAGGTGTACTTCCATCTAGAGCATCTCTTTAAAATACACTATAGAGATGGTTTGTGGGAGGTAAATTCCCTCAACTTTCGCTTATCTGGGAATTGTTTAATCCCTCCTTCAAATTTAAATGATAATCTTGCCAGATACAGTGTTCTCGGTTTGAGGCCCATCTATTTCATTCCCTGTAAGGTTTCTTCTGAGATGTCTGATCATAGCCTCATGGTTTTTCCTTTGTAGGTGACCTTTTTTCTCTCTGGCTGACTTTAATACTCTGTCCTTGTCCTTGATCTTTGCCATTTTAATTATTATGTGTGTTGGTGTTGTATTCTTTGGGTCCCTTCTATCTGGTGTTCTGTGTGCTTCCGTAGTCTGAGCAACTATTTCCTCCCCCAGTTTGGGGAAGTTCTCAGCAATTATTTCTTCAAAGACACTTTCTATCCCTTTTTCTCTCTTTTCCTCTTCTGGTACCCCTATAATGCAGATATTGTTCCTTTTGGATTGGTCACACAGTTCTCTTAATATTCTTTCATTTCTAGAGATCCTTTTATCTCTCTCTGCCTCATCTTCTCTGTATTTCTGTTCTCTGGTTT